GGGGTGCACGCTTCATTAGTTGCTACACCATTGGCTTTCACATCATTAGAAAGGCAGCAGGGAGCTATCGCTCACATAACTGGGTTTAGGGGGGAAAAGTAAGGCAACAACACATTACGATTGTAAGTCACGATGATCATAAAACAGGCCATCTTGTGACCAGTCCGATTTTACAACCTGTATTTGAGGAGGTCATTGTGAATCCATGGTCATTAAGCGAAACTATTGTTTGCTAGGGGGCAATTTTGCTGAAAACCAGAAGCAAACATAGTTGTGGTTTTTTTTTGTCAAAAATGTAAATTGTGGTCACATGCCCACAAGATATTGCAAATGGCTGTAGAAATTTGGGGGTGGGGGTGGCCATCGGAATCTCGGGAACTAGGTTGTAAGTATCTTTTGGGGGGGGCCTTGTAGCTTTGAATAGTCGCTAAATGTCCAGTTGTAAATTGAGGACTGAATGTACTGACCAAAATGGGCTAAGGAGGGTGGACGGATCCTCTCCTTGCTACCTATGGCAAAGGTGTGATTACTACTACTACTACTACTACTACTACTACTACTACTACTACTACTACTACTACTACTACCTTGATTAGGACCATCGTGACTTCATCCCCCCTTTCTCTTACTAGAGAACATTTGTGTGAAAGCCTCCGTGGAGCAGAGGATGGTGGGGACCGGAATCGGTTGACCCATCTCGGGTGACCTTGATGGCTTGGAATGTAAGGGGTCGTCCGACCTCTTCTCAGCCACTCCTCAGCCTTGGGGTTTGTGTGGGGCTGACTGGTGGGGCTTGAGCAAGATAAAGGTTGCCGTCAGCAGACAGACATTCAAAAGATAAGTCTGGCAAATCCTTTTGACAGTGAAGGATCAACATTTTCTGACAGAGTTCTTTGTTCACGCTGGGCAGGGGAGCTATTACCCAAACGAGACATGAGGCATCTTCGGTAACGCAGTCCTTTTTAACTGACGGTTTTCTTCACTAATCATTATTTGTATACTTTTAATTTCACACTGGGGACCCTTTTGAACTCCTCACCCTTTCCCAAATAGCTCTTATAACGCGTTTCCTTCAAATCTTGCCAGTTCGTCTTTATCCCTCGTCCACACAGCAAGAGATACTTAAAAAACAAACGAGACAGTATTAGAAATTGGTCAGAGTAATCTGGTGTTACATCATTTTTTTAGCCCCATAAAACTTCTTTCACCAAGAACAGTGTCCTGTCCTTTTTGGACCAGAACTAAGGAGAAACTTCCTGACAGAACAATTAACCAGTGGAACAACCTGCCTCCAGAAGTTGTGAATGCTCCAACACTGGAACTCTTTAAGAAGAGATTGGACGGCCACTTGTCTGAAATGGTATAGGGTCTCCTGCCTGAGCAGGGGGTTGGACTAGATGACCTCCAAGGTCCCTTCCAACTGTGTTATTCCTTCCTTCCTTCCTCCCTTCCTCCCTCCCTCCCTTCTCCAACACTGGAAGTTTTTAAGAAGAGACTGGACAGCCATTTGTCTGAAATGGTATAGGGTTTCCTGCCTGAGCAGGGGGTTGGACTAGATGACCTCCAAGGTCCCTTCCAACTGTGTTATTCCTTCCTCCCTCCCTCCCTTCTCCAACACTGGAAGTTTTTAAGAAGAGACTGGACAGCCATTTGTCTGAAATGGTATAGGGTCTCCTGCCTGAGCAGGGGGTTGGACTAGAAGACCTCCAAGGCCCCTTCCAACTTTATTATTATTATTATTAAATATTCATTTGTTGAATTTATCAACAATCCCCAGGGGATGGGCAACCAGGAGCTCCCACCTAGAGAATCTGGTTCTGAAGCTCTCATGGTGCCAGGCCATGTAGAGCTGTAAAGATTAAAACCACCTCTTTCCATTTACTACTGGAACCCTAGAATGGCAACGTTTGCGACAGCCGTGTTGTGTGGCTCTAGTCTAGTGTGTCTTATCTGTCGTAATGGGGGCTACTGTATATTGCCTTTTGCTCCAAGCGTTGCTACTGGCTGGTCTTCAAAGGCAGCTCCATTGCAACAGTCCCTCCAGGGGGGCTGTGAGTCATTGTCCATCGGTCATCCTGCTCCAGATAAGGCCACAAGAGGTGGAACCAGCCTGAAACTGGGCATCGCGGTGTGTGGAAATGGCCTTGAAGGAGGAAGAGGAGAGATGCTGCCGAGCTCAAATGAGTATCGGTAGAGAAAGAAACTGAACGATTCCAAGCACGCGTATAAATAGTTTCTTCTGGCAGGTGAATCCCTCCTGGAGATCATAAAGTCTTCTGCCCTGGGGCTTTTCTGTGTACAGTTCCAGGAAGTTCTGAAAAATTAAGATCTATTTATGGTTTTTATTTTCTCCGGATCTCGAAAGGAACGCAGTGGGGAAATGAGAAACAAGTGGATTGCACTCCTATTTTAGGTGGCCAGGAAGGGAGGCTAAAAAAGAGCCAAGATGGTGGCTGATCCGGAGGGTATAAAATCTTCTGCCATAATAATAATAATAATAATAATAATAATAATAATAATAATAATAATAATAATAATAATAATAATAATAATAATAATAATAATAATAATAATAATAATAATAAAGTTGGAAGGGACCTTGGAGGTCATCTAGCCCAACCCCCTGCTCAGGCAGGAAACCCTATAGCAGGGGTTGGACTAGAAGACCTTCCAGCTCTAAGATTCTTTGTTCTATGTTAGGTCCACATAATCAAGGGGTTGCAATACGTGATGCCGATTCATTTTGTTTGGCTGTTGCAATTGTTTAAGCCAGGGGTAGTCAACCTTGGCTCTTTTATGACTCGTGGACTTCAACTCCCAGAATTCCTGAGCCAGCTAAGCTGGCTCAGGAATTCTGGGAGTTGAAGTCCACGAGTCATAAAAGAGCCAAGGTTGACTGCCCCTGATTGTAAGCCCTCCGCGAACAGCGTGGATTCCCTTTCTTCTTAGCCATTTTTTGAAATTAAAACGTTCCCCATTTTACAAGGGTTACAAACAGCAAAAAATAGCCATGACGATTTGACATCTTTCAAATTAATGTTGGAAAGTTTCACCAGCCGTCTCAAGGCAGTCAGAACATAAAGTCAAAGGTTATTTATTTGGAACCAATTCTACACTTAACAGGATATGTTCAGGACTGCGTATCTGAGGCCCTGCCGGGTGCATTAATTGGATTCCAGTTCTGGGATGGGTTCAGATCAATGTGGCGCAATTCCTAAAGGGGCATTTTGAGTTTTTTCTTTCGCTTAAAAGGCAGAGATAAAAACACGGGCTAATCACGTGCCAAAGATGGTCACTTCTATGAGGCCTGGCAAGGATTTGGGTCGGTGGGCGACTGGCTTCCCAGCCTGGCTATCTTGGGTGATTAAATCAGTGCTTTTCAGTCATTCTGCTCTGAAGTCACCCTTTTTTGCAACCATCAGCCAAGTGATGAAATCCTGGGCATTCGCCAAGGATCTTGTGGGTCTTCTGGCTGGTTCTGGCAGACATCCTTGTTGGAAAGGAGTCAGGAATGACAGAAGACAGAAGCTCGTCTTCCTCCAGCTGTGCCTCGGGAGGAAAAAACAGCCATGATGGTCAAGCCTTATATTAGAGAAATTCACACGATCTTTGGACAGTTCAGTTTAGTTCTTAACTGGTCACAATTTGTACGCTTGGCAATTGTCGTGTATTTATGACGGTTGCAGCGTCCCGGGTGGGTGTCACGTGATCCCCTTTTTGTGAACTAAAGAGATCTTTCCTTGACCCCAATAGTATGAAAATTCCTGCTTGAGTGGGACTAGAAGACCTCCAAAGTCCCTTCCAGCTTTATTCCATTCCATTCTCCTCTCCTCTCCTCTCCTCTCTCCTCTCCTCTCCTCTCCTCTATTCTATTCTATTCTATTCTATTCTATTCTATTCTATTCTATTCTATTCTTTCTAATTATTATTCTGTTCTCTATTCTATTCTATTCTACTCTTCTCTTGTCCTCTATTCTCCTCTACTCTACTCTACCTTCTCTTCTCCTCTCCTCTCTTCTCCTATTCTCCTCTGTTCTCTTCTACTCTACTCTACTCTCTCTTCTCTTCTACAATCTGTCCTATTCTGTTCTATTCTATTCTACTCTTCTCTTCTCTTGTCCTCTATTCTATTCTATTCTATTCTATTCTATTCTATTCTATTCTATTCTATTCTATTCTATTCTATTCTCCTCTCTTCTCCTCTCCTCTCCTCTCCTCTCCTCTCTCTTCTCTTCTACAATCTGTCCTATCCTGTCCTATCCTGTCCTGTCCTATCCTATCCCATCCCCTTCTTCAGATCTGTGGATGGGTTAGACTGGTGCACAGATCTCCCCAAAAGCTTCTTCCCTTTCAATAAAACTTGGTTAGTTTGAGAAGGGGCTACCAGACCCCTCCGTAGAGCAAGTGTCCCAGATGCTGCCCTTTGCTCCCCACCTGAAGAACACACGGCAGGTGTTAATCAAGCTTGGCAGCCATGCCACCGTGCACCCCTTTGGGTGGTGCCAGAGAAGGAGAGCACCGGTGCTTACAAACACAGGAGGGACGAGGGGGGGAGGCAGGGCTGGGATTCAAAGAGTCTCATCAGCCTTCTTGTGTGTTTGTGTTTCCTCTCTGTCTGCCCCGTTTCTGTACAGGCTCCTAGGCCGCTGGAAGACCAGCCATGGGGGAACAAAGATAGAGAATGAGGTAATGGCAGGAGCAGCTGAGAGGGACCTTTTGTGCGAGCGTGAAATGGTGACTCCGTAGCCCAAGATGAATGGGTTGTGAGGGGCGTCTTTGTACGGCACGGTTGGAAGAGGCATTTCTCTCGCGCGGACCCTCTGAAGAGAAAATGGGTCTCCCTTCCCTCTTGCCAGTCTCCACCGAGGTGACCTCATCCATCTGGAGGACAATGGAGGGTCTGGGCCTTTAAGTTCACAGCCATTACCTCATCTCCTTCGTGGGGGCCTCGGATTGAAAAGCGAAGCATTGCTCCGGTTCGTTCGGCGTCTGTGGTTGTCATGGCGGATGAAATGAATGGGGCTCAGCTCATAGCCGGGGAGAGGCTGGTGACTTGGCTGGAGAGCAGCATGGAGAGATTGCTCCTGATTGACAGCCGTCCCTTTGTGGAATACAACATGTCCCACATCTTGGAGGCCATCAACATCAACTGCTCCAAACTCATGAAGCGCAGGTTGCAGCAGGATAAGGTGCTGATCACCGAACTAATCCAGCATTCAGCAAAGCAGAAGGTAAGGCTCTGGGGAGCAGAGGGTGGATTTTTTTTTGGGGGGGGGGGGAGAAATACATTTATAGATGAAGGACAGAACTGGCAAGAGATCAATCAGAATAGAGCTGGGAGGGACCTTGGAGGTCTTTCTAGTCCAGGGGTCCCCAACCTTGGCAACTTTAAGACTTGTGGACTTCAACTCCCAGAATTCCTCAGCCAGCTTGGCTGGCTGAGGAATTCTGGGAGTTGAAGTCCACAAGTCTTAAAGTTGCCAAGGTTGGGGACCTCTGTTCTAGTCCAACCCCCTGCTCAAGCAGGAGACCCTATTCAATTCAGACAAACGACTGTCCAGTCTCTTCTTTAAAAACTCCAGCGATGGAACACCCACAACTTCTGGAGGCCAGCTGTTCCACCGGTTAATTGTCCTCCCTGTTAGGAAATTTATCCTTAATTCCAGGTTGCTTCTCTCCGCGATTAGTTTCCATCCGTCGTTTCTTGTCTGGCTTTCTGGTGCTTTGGAAAATAGGTTGACCCACCCCCCTCTTCTTTGTGGCAGCCCCTCAAATACAGGAAGACTGCTATCGTGTCCCCCTGGTCCTTCTTTTCTCTAGACTGGCCATTCCCAAATCCTGCCGCCGTTCTTCCTATGTTTTAATCTCCAAGGCTTTAATCATCCTAGTTGGTCTTCTCTGCGCTTTTTCCAAAAGTCTCAACATCTTTTTTTTGTCATGCTGTCAGAGGATGCTGGCTGCGCAGGTATTAACACAAACGGTTAATACCCTTAATGATTCATTTTACTTCATTAATACCCTTTCCCACCCTTAAGCAGAATCAAGAGTTTTCTTGGTCCCAGCTTTATCACGATCATTGCTAAAAACAGTCCTGAAAAATGCGGCTACAACGGAAGGGTAAAACAAACACTGTTGGGCGGAAGAGTTTGGTGTTTTCTGAACTAAAATAGCCGCAAGGTTTAACCATCTTTCTTTTGTCACTTTAAAAAAAAGTTCAACTCGGGTTAAGCGGATCGCAACTTGCGGTCTTGCTGATACAAACACGAGCGTCCGGCAGAGAAGCCACAGTGACGCATTTGATCTCGCTTGACCTCCGTCTCCCCCGAGGACGCTTGTGGACGCCAGTCTTCAACGGAGTCAGAGAAATTTGTCTGAGCGCATGAAATCCCATCCCGGGCTCTCTGGCGGGCTTAGCCGATCAGGTCCTCGAAGACAAATGCTCTCGTCACCTCATGCTCTCGTCACCTCTCGCCTGGACTACTGTAATGCTCTCTACATGGGGCTCCCTCTGAGGAGCACCCGGAGACTCCAACTGGTCCAGAATGCGGCCGCGCGGGCGGTGTTGGGAGGGACTCGTCGCTCCCATGTAACACCGCTGCTGCGCGAGCTGCACTGGTTACCAGTGGTCTTCCGGGTGCGCTTTAAGGT